TTTTTTCCATTGGAAACCATTAGACAGACCATCCAATGGTTTCCTATGGAGAAAAAACAAAAAATCATCATAAATTAACGAAGCGTCAGAACAACACCAAAATCAGTTTGCATAGGTTTCAGGAGGTGGACTAACCATTGCAATCATTTAAAACAGCGTCCAAACATTGTAAGACACTTTTACAGGAGCGAAAAAGGACTTCGCAAAGGCATTGAAATGTATTGAGTCGGCTTCAATACATTCCAATATAGGAAACATTGTTTCACTCAACGATGTTTCCTATGGGGATTTTCACTGAACGATGGAAATCCGTTCCAATTGGTTTTCAATGCATTCCTATGTGAAATGGTGTTTCACAGAACGATGTTTCACACAACGTTGATTTTTTTGGAACCAATTAACATCGTTGTGTGAGGCACCACTGTATTCTTCTTTCTTTTGAATAGTTTAGTGTCAGAAAAGCAGAGGCCTAAACATTGAATGGATTTTTAACTTTCATATAGCACTAATGTTTAAAATATAGGTGACTGGATGGAAATGCTGAGATTTTCAGTTCAGGAAAGACAGAACTAATATTTATCTTATATTTCTAATTCATAGCAGTATCTCGGTGAATACTCTTACTGAAAACATGGCAGCATCTAACAACAATACATGGGCTGTCACACTGAAGTCATTACTTGAATGGCTTTGTTCTTCTTATGAATCAATGAATAAATCTGGATATGTGGATTTGTCAGGGAAAAATTTCAAGAGCTGTAATTGAAAAAGAAAAGAAAAGTTGAAATACCACATGGTTTTTCACTGCACATTAAAAAGCAAAGATGCCGTCCATCTCTTTCTCTGTGTTCAGCTGTCCTTATGGAACGGCTTTTTGACTGGGCTACACGTGTTCCCTTCTCTGCTTCTGGTTGTTGCCAAACACACATGGGGAGGAATATAGAGAAAGGCAGCCAGTCACTCTGTGGAATGCAAGCCTGTGTGCAATTCCCATAGTGATATCCAATGACCTTATTCTTTGCTTGGAGTGAATCATTCTTTCAGTGTGTGTTTTAAAAAAAGCATTTTGACTTGATGATATGCAGATTCATGACTGTTCATGATTGACAGACTAATTAGATGTTACACCGAGGAAGGTTTGAGTGCAGCTCACCAGCATCTCCCACTGTATCTCTCATATCTTCAGCATTTACCCGTTTTCTGTATGCTTCTTTGTCTTCTTCTTGCATACTACAGAAAAATGAGTAACGATGCAGATACGAAAACAGTTATTATTTGGGAGCTAGTTATGAAGGCTGTAAAAAAGAAAAAAAAATTGGTTCCATTCTTATGGTTGTAGACCATTGGTTTTAAACAGGTGGCTATAATCTGGCTTTCTAAACAAAGCTTTTCACCATTAAAAAAAATTAAAATCTCATCAGGTCTCCTGGCAGAAAGTGTGTCTGTGTAGTGTCTATCGCCTGCCCCCATAATTTCTTATTGTACATGCTAGACAACCTTGTTGCTAGACAGAAGGTACTTACTCAACAGTCTTCATTATCATGAACAGTGGAAAGATTGTTATAAGCATACAATTCCTGGGATTTATATGAAGAATAAGGGTAACAAGGCTAGCAGCAAGTTGTGATGGCTCTGTTTTTCCTCCAGGATCAGAAGCAGCATGTCTCTGAATGCCAGCTGCTAAAAGTCAGCACCAAAAGGCAGCCCCTGCCCTCATGTCCTGCCCATGGGCTTCCCTCATGGATCTGACTGACCCCTGTGGAAAACAGGATGCTGGGGTGGATAGGTCATCAGTCTTGTTCTCCAACAGGTCTCTTTACTTCCGTGTACTCCTTTTCAGAAGCATTTTGTTTTGGATTATAGGTCCCATAATCCCCAAGCCAGCCAAGGCAACAGGGAATTCTGGGAGTTGCCATTCAAAAGGATAAATATTTCCAAGCTCTGCTCTTTTTTTTCCTTTTGGCAAAGATGTATGCTCTATATCACAAGGGGAAGATATAAAATAATACTGGTAAGTTCTTATTAAGCAGTGGAATTAAGAATTTAGATTTCAGATCTAGTTTGAATTTTCCCACCGGCCAAAATCCTGTTGTGAAAACCATATACACAATGAGAGATCACTTGAGGAGTTTTTGTGTTTTGCTATCCATTCTAAAGGAAATCAACCTGGAGTGCTCACTGGAAGGACAGATCCTGAAGCTGAGGCTCCAGTACTTTGGTCATCTCATGAGAAGAGAAGACTCCTTGGAAAAGACCTTGATGTTAGGAAAGTGTGACGGCAAGAGGAGAAGGGGACGACAGAGGACGAGATGGCTGGACAGTGTCATCAAAGCTACCAACATGAATTTGACCCAACTCCGGGAGGCAGTGGAAGAGAGGAGGGCCTGGCGTGCTCTGCTCCATGGGGTCATGAAGAGTCGGACAAGACGTAACGACTAAACAACAACAACAACAAATCTGTCATGTGGCCAGTCATGTAACTGGCCACATGTTTAATTTTGCAACTGAGAAGACCAGGCAAACAAGGGACAACTGGCAAAATATCTCTTGTTGTTTGTGTGGTAGTGTTTACATGTTCATGTAATGCAGCAGGATTCTGTTCATGATGATGTATTTGATTCTTTGTCCTAGGCCAGTAAGGGTTAGGCCAGTGGTTCCCGTCCTTGGACTGCAAGTCCCAGAAGCCTTCAACACTAGCTGTGGTTTCTGGGAGTTGCAGTCCAAGAAAAACTTGTTACCCAAGGTTGGGAACCACTGTGTTAGGCCATATGGAAGTAGCCAGATTACGAGGCCCCACAGCCTGATATTGTGACTCTGTAACTTATATATATTATAGTATGCCAGTATATGTTTCCCCTAAATCAGGATATGTGGTTTTGAATGTCAAGTTATTCTGAGCTCCAGAGTAATAAACTTTCTTCCATTGCACCCGTCTGTCTCCATACTGAAAACGTCTGTATTTGTCTTCTGGGGGGGGGGGGACTGCTCCAAGTCATGATTCTGCATGAGGCGGGTAAGTGAAGGCCACCCAATTTGACATGTAGCTGGTCCTACTAGCAGTAGCAACTTAAAACAGAATCTGAATTCACATTAGGCTCCAAAGCATGAGACGTGGCAGCAGATAGCTTTTATTTAATTCCTCTTCTCATTCCCTCGATTACTTCTGACGAATTTGAAGTAGCAGCTGCCAACTGTCACTTGAAATACTCTGGAACCTGGGAGGAGCCTGGCTCCAGAGTAGGTTGGCGGTGCTGAGGAAATCTGAAACTGGTAGCCAGCAGTACACCTCTGTGCTCTAATCCATCATGTGCCCCAGTGGGTTCATAGAGCCACATGTGATGGGAGGCCCTGTTACTCCTGCTAAACATGCCACACTTCACCATTGAACATAGTCTTTGATCTTATATGTTGAGGAGGTATTGATATTCCAAGGCTATATATCTCTGTCCAGGTGTTCTTCTCCAATCCATGATTGCCATTGTGGAGGTTAGGGGAGATGGTGAATGAATCTCATGGTTTTGACCCCTGTTTTGCAATAGGGCGCTGGTGGAGTAATCCCACATAGATTTAGAGCCCTGTAAGATAAAGGTTGTCCAGTACTTTAGGACTATCTACAGAAGCAGTCCTCTTCCTAATGCAGAGTTTCCCTTCCCAACACAAGGGAGAGGATGCAACTAGTGTGGCAGCAACCAGAATTGCATGAGCCAACAAGCATACAGTATTTCCATTTTCTCTTCATGCAGTGGCAATTGTATGTTCTGTGGCTATGGAGATGCAACCCAGTAGAGTTAAAAGAAACCTAATTTAAATAGGAATTAAAAGAAACCTGATGTTCTGGTTATGGCACTCACTTCTGTTAGAAACCTGGTTGTCTTTAAAAACATGTTTGTCTTTCAGACACCGTTAAAGTATACCTGTATGTGTAAGTTTTCAGGGGTTAAGCAAGCATTTAACTTATGTTTGCCTATGGTTTGTATTGTGTTGTAGCAGACATTTGCAATTTGTGATTTTAAATATTTCTGCTTGTTCATATATATTTAATGAATAAATAATGATAATAATGATAATCATGGTGATAATGATGGTCATCACATGATCATTACTATATGGGGAGCAGTAGGGTGCAAGCAACAAGAGAGAGTTAACGTTTTTAAGAGTGATGATTTTCATGAGGAATTGTCTTAGATAAGAAGATAAGAAGGTTGGCTCCTTCATCCCATCATCACTTACACTTTTAAGATTAGCTCGATATCAAGAGATTCATGAGGAGAGCATCACTGGAGTAGCCGTTTTGTTATTTAATATTTCATAGGATAACTGGGATAGTTACTAAAGCAGTAGTTGTATCCATAGCAGCTGAGTTGCCATATACATATTTGTTTTCAATGGGGCTTACTCACAGGTAAGGCAGTATACAGAATTATAACCTCAGACTTTTTTCCACCAGACATAATAGGGCATGAACTGATATCCACTTGAAGGCACAATGATATATCATAGCACTTATATTGATAATTACATGTTTTATTAGGTTATTTCATTTGTTTTTCTTGCTTTCGTCATTGGAGTTGACTTGGGGTGAAACTGCAGGGCCCCTTTGGAAATCAGACCACACATATTCTTTTGTGTATATTGTATGGAAGCTCTGAGAACCTATGTGCATTCAATTGGACATGCATAGTTCCTGTCATGTGCTCTGGAATCCGGTGTGACCAGTGTCCTGGGACAGAGGGAGGAACTTCTATGCCTTCATGTGAATATGCATAGGTTCCCCCTTCAGACTTTTTGCCCTAATCAGAAAGATCTGGGGATAGAGGTAGGTTTACTCTAGTTGGGAGTGCCAATTAAATTTAACAAATGACTAGAATACACGCAAGGAGGATCTATGCTTTGTCCTAAATTTTACCTGCATTACTTCCTGAAGCTTTGGGCAAACACTTGGTCCCTTGTGATAACAGCACGGTGGAATTCTGATGTATGCAATTGCTTTGGTTTTACAGAGAAATGACGAAGAGGCAGTGGTGGACCGAGGTGGAACGCGCTCCATTCTGAAAACACATTTTGAAAAGGAAGACTTAGAAGGTAAGGCCTTACTATTTCCAAATCATTGTGATTTTTTTTCTGTTAAAAACTGAACATAATTTCATGTTTTAAAAAAGCTACACAATACAGTCCTGTAGTAAGAGAGGGAAAATGAGATGTTCTTTGCCCCCCCAACTGTTTTATTAAAATTTGTGACATGAAGATAGTGACATTCCCCAAGTGAAGAATAACAGCTTGTTTTAAGAACAAAACAAAAACAATTTAAGAACAAGACTGAAAAAATCTGTACAAAAAGCTTGTTGCTCCTTTTATGGAGTCAATTTATCTCATATTTGGTTTTTCTCTTTTCTTGCTGCCTTCTGCTTTTCCTGTTATTATTTTCTTTTCCAGAGAATCTTGCCTTCTTATGATGTGCCCAAAATATGAAAGCCTCAGTATTCTCATTTTTCCCCTCTAGAGATAGTTCAGGCTTGATTTGCTCAAGCACCCTTATGCAGCACTACATTTTAAAATAATCATTTTTCCCCTATCAGCCTTCTTTACTGTCCATCTTTCATACCTGTACATAGTTATCATGAATACAAGTATGTAGATTATCTTGGCCAGTGGCATGTTCTTACACTTGATTATTTTTTCCTAATTCCTTCATTGCTGCCCTTCTGAGTCTGTCTCCTGATTTCTTGGCTACAGTCTCCATTTGGAATGTTGACTGTCCTAAAATATAAAAAGTCTTTAGCAATTTCAATTTATTCATCACTGACATTAAAGTTGTGTAGTTCTTCTGTAGTCATGGTTTTTGTCTTGTTAATGTTCAACTGCAGTCCTGCTTTGGCAATGTCTTTTTTCACTGTTATCAACAGTGGTTTAAAGGCATTGCTGCTTTCTCCTGTAAGATGGTGTCAATCTGCATATTTTAAATTACTGATATTTCTTCCACCAATTGTCACTTCTTCTTTCCTGCATCTAATCTGGCTTTCCATATGATATGTTCTGCATACAGATTGAACAGATAAAGGATAACGTGCATCCTTATCTCACACCTTTACCTATAGGAAACCTTCTTGTCTGCAATACAGGTTGTGCTGGGGCACACCAGTTTCTGTCAGAACCATCTATAGCTTCTCACTATTCACATAGTCAAAGGCTTTAGTCTATGAATTATAGACTGGGCTATTTCTGAAGTTCTTTTGTGCATTCCAGCAATCAGCAGATATTTGCAATATGATCACTAGTGCCTCTTCCTTTTCAAAATCCAGCTTGAACATCAGGCATTTCTTGCTCCATATGAAGTAAAAGCCTTCATTGCAACACCTTGAGCATCACTTTGCCTGCATGGGAAATTAGAGCAATTATCTTACAGTTACTGCACTCGACACCTCCTTTCTTGAGGATTGGAATGTATATTGAGCATTTCCAGTCTGGGGGCCATGTTTTGTTTTCCATATTTGTTGGCATATTAAAGTTTTGACAGCTCCAGTCACTGTGGTTTGAAATATCGATATCCTGTCTATCCCTGGTGATATATTTATTTCCACTGCTTTCAGAGCAGCTTTCTCTTCACTTTTGAGTGTTTCACTATCTTCATCACAAAATTCTTCAAAGGAATCTGTCATCTTTTTATCTTTTCTATATCGGTCTTCAGTATACTGTTTCCATCTTTTTTATTTTATCCTGGTCAGATAGTGTGCTTCCCTGTTGGTCTTTGAGCATTCCGAATCTAGGCTTAAATAGCCCCTTGTTTTCTTGGATCTTCTGGAAAAGATGTCTTGTTTTTCATTTTTTATTGTTCTCCTCTTTCTTTGCACTGGTTATACGATCAAGTTCTCTTTATCTCTACATGACAGTTTTTTAGACACAAGCTTTCTCATATTGAAACTATATGGATAGATCAACCCGCTCCAACTTGGGTAGAACATCCCTCTCTAATCCTCAGATGTCTTAGGCCTGAATCTAGCTGGTAGACCCCAGCTAGAATAAAACCATTGAATCTGTAGGATTAACATAACCAGATTTGCTGTTCAGCTGTTGATTTAATGGATCTCTGCTCTAGAGTAAGGTAACTGACAGAATGCGATAAGAATATATTCAGAAATTGGCAAGCTTTTTTGTGCTGGGAAGTTGGAACTTCTATTTCAGTGACAGCTGAGTCAGAGCAGAAATAACAAAGAACTCTGTGGTATCTTGAAGGCTAACACATTTATTCTGGCGGATGCTTTTGTGGTTGTGTCAGAGTATATAACAGATCTCTGTGAATTCTTTCTTTGCTATAAAAGAGATGTTAGCATCTTAAGTTGCAAGCAAGTCAGTGTAATAGTTTGACTTGTATGTTTTCTCCTTGACCATTAAATACACTCTTTAGCTGCACCTTTATGGCACCGTAACAGGCTTCTGCAACTATGATTTGGGCTTACTTTCCTTTCTCTAGTCCTGTCATCCTGAATAAATAGTGATCATTTTCACATGGAGCAGGCCCATGTTATGTGTCTTGGGTTGGTTTGAGGTGCCTGAAAAATCATAACTGTTTTTAAAAAACACAAAACTATTTTAAGGGTAGTATGATGTTAGTAGACCCTAATGATCTAAGACTTTCCCCTTTTCACTCCTTTTTCAGTCTCTTTTTCCCCTTTTCACTCTTGGATTCAACCCATTCTGAGAAAACCAAAATTAATGTGCAAACAAGTTGAAGTGAAATACATCACAATGGTTTTTCAGATTAAACGGGCATTTGTAAAAAGCCTAGCCAAAATATATGGCAATCTGTTCCCCACATTTTTTGTTCTTGGCCTGCTAGGTCTTATGAATAGCAGAGGCTGTTAGGGATCAACAAAATTCTGAAGGCATTCATATTTTGATTTTAGCTAATTCAAAATTCCAAAATAGATTTGAATTAAGATCATTTCTGACAATTAATATCCATGTTATAGCCTGCATGCGGGTCTTGGAATTATATAAGCTTGTGGCTCAAAAAATCCTCACAGTATGCTTCCTATGAAAAGTAACATCCAGTATTTCAGGGTACTGTGACAATTTTTGACATGTGAACAGGCCCATAATTTAGGAAACTAAATATACACTAACACAATCATTACTCCGAAGGCATCAGTTAAATATGTACAGAGATCAATTAAACAATTGCAAATATGTGCCTATGATAAAGATACATTTTACAGTATATGCTTATGATATTGATATGGTACTTGTAAGTTCCTTTTGAGGTATGAAAGTTTCAGAAGCATTAAAGAGTTTTGTAGCACTCAAAAGATTAAAAAAAACAGTCATGTTTTGAACTTGAATACAGTGACAATTTGGCTCTGCCACACTGTCTCAACCACTGTTTAAAGTGTGTGTACAGTGTTGTGTTGTACACATATTGTTACGTGCAATAATGCATTTCCCATATGCAGTAGCCTTTATGGCCTTCATCACTTTTTGAATGAAGGATTGCCTACAAATGAAACCTCTTCCTGAGAGTTGATCGGCAATCACTCCGCCGGTCATTCTTGGGTTCGCTACTCTGTGTGCTTCTCTGTACAGGGAGCACAGACAGCACAAGGACCATTGCTCCATATGCAAAAAAGCTTTTTTATGCAGGGGACAATTCATGTCTGAAAGTATTCACCAGGGTGGAGCTCCTCTGTTTTGAGCACTTCACTCATGATATTGTAGTTTGCCAAAATCTGCTTTTAACTAACAATGTTTGTTCTCAATATTTTGAAGCTTCCTTTTGGACTTCCCCAAAGGAAGTTACTTTACTGATGGAATCTTAGAGTTTTAGATTTTGCTTTGATAATGAGCTCAGTGAATATTGAGCACCATTAAACTAATTAATAGCAAATTTGTTACATGAGCAGACACATGCTTTAACGGCAACTTCAGATCTGTTATATTTGCATTTGTTAATTTAGAAAGATGGGTCAAATTATCATCTTCCGTGCACTGAACTTTCATTTATATTTTATTTCTCGTTTCACTTTTGTTTAGATTTTTGTTTTCTTGCAATTAATTTACTGACCTAGAAAGGAAAGAACGCCTTTGCTAATGGAAGGCCACTTGGGACCGTGGGCCAAATCCATGCTGGTTCTAGGACTAACTATAGTAGACTTGCTGCAGCAAAATGTTAAATAATGTGTTTCTATTAAGTCTTTATCATACAGTACAATTAAAGGATTACAAATACTGTATGTGCCTGTGATAAAGTTGCATTTTATGTGCTTATGATATTGATATGGTACTATGCTAGCTGTTTCTTCAGAATTATTTATTGGGAGGAAAACATTTTGTGGCATTCTGATTGTTTTTAATGGAAACACTGTTAGTCCCCTTGAACATTGTTTTACATGAGAATGGAGAATGTGGGATGTTAATGTTTACATGTGGGTGGATTGTTGGTTGTTAAGTGGAATTATTTCTTTAAACCTTTGAGCACTCCTGCACGCCACTCAGTGCTTTGGAGATAAGGCAGAAGTTATGGAACTGCATCCATGCTAAAGTTATCAAATGCCTCTGCCTACTGGCTTAAATACATTGCATATTTTTGTGTTTTTGTTTCCTGCCCATGGGCATCCAAGGAAGCTTAACTTTAAAATTGTTTACAACTAGTCTAGTGACACCTACTTTCATACCCAATATGAAAAAATTCTCTAGTTGTGACACAGATCTCAAGACTATTTCTGCGTACTGATGCGTTCTTCACACCTATACACATCAAAATGAGCCAAAAATGATGGCATATCCTGCCCTCTCAAAGATTTTTTTAAAATGTTATTACGGCATGTGTTTTCATGGATTAGAGTCTACTTTATCAGATTCATGCTTACCTATGTGGAGAGATATGTGTCCCTAATCACTAAAAGGAACTGAACATCTTATTTTCACAAAGGCAGCTCCATCACTGACTTTTGCAAAGTATGAATGAATGTACAGTACAAGTCTGCGTGTTTCCCTGTACTAGCAGCACAGACTGCACAGAGATTGTTTCTACATATGCAAAATGGGGACACCTCTCCCCCCTGGCATGTCATCTGAAATTCCCTACCCAGGATTTAGTAGCATAGTGCAAATGATACCTCATTCTTCCTGTTTATTCCTTAGCTCCTTTTCTGTCTCCTTGTGAGTGGGAAAAAACTGTTAGAATACTCTGATTTTCTTTTTTTAAAAATCTCAAATTATTGGTCTCTGGGCTGTAATTACTATTCAGCAATCCAGAGTTTATTGTTCAGAGATACTCTGTTTTCTTTCTCTGCTTCCTTCCTTATCCTTATTCGTTATGTGGGCAGCTTTAACCTGGTATCTGTAATAATAATCCTCTGGGTGTTTTCTGATCCCTTGTTTTTATTTAAAGTTCTGCCAAGAGTACAGTGTGCTCTCCTTGCCACACAAATCAGAACCAGTTTTAAGAAGAATGTTCCTAACTGTGTTCTTTTTCTCCTGTTTCCTTGGGAGTGGAATAAAAAGAGAAGATGGAAAAAACTGATAACAGTTTGGTGACAGTCAGTGTGGTATAGGAGTTCGGGTGACAGAGTTAAGTCAATGGGATCTTGGTTGAGATCCCTGAACGGTCCCTCCTTTTATCTCTAGAGAGTCTGAATAAGCAAAGAATTAGACTCTCTCACTGTTGAAAATTGCAGAGAGTAAAGAAAAAGATGGCCTGCTCCTTATACCCAGTAGTACAAATAGGCTAAATTATCAAACCAAATATATATACATATATTTCTGCTTCTGGAAATAATTGGAAAATATAATCAGGAAAAGCCTTCCTTCCCCACACTTCAATTTATGTTTTTACCACCACATAAATATCAAGTTACTATTTCTGTTTCTTCATTTTGAAACAGTAGTAGTAGTAGTAGTAGTAGTAGTAGTAGTAGCAGCAGCAGCAGCAGCAGCACTCGAGTTCAGATGCTTTAACAGCAGCAGCACTTACTATACCTTGTTTAAGATCTATTAAGGGGACTGCAAAGCTGGAGGGTGGCTTAGAAGGTCCAAATGCAGTGTGATGAGAAGAAAAGAATGGTCTGCCTTCCTGACGTAGTTTTTTTAAAAATCTCAGAGTAACAGTTGAGGAAAGGGAGAACAACAGTTGACAGGTCGACTACGCCAGAGCTCTGCCTGGGGAATTATGTCTGACTGGCTTCTGTCAGTCCATGAAGGGATTGATACCATTGGGTATTCAAATTCAGGCAGCAAATCCTGGGAATGGGGAGGGGGACAGCTCCTTAGATGTTGGAGAATATGGTACTCCTTATCTCGCTCTCCTCAAACACAGTGGATATTGCTGTCTCATTGTCAGCCTTGAGACCACACTTTCCACTGTTATTCAGTTGTTACTCAAGGGAGGGTGGAGTCTTTAGGTAAAATGGAGGATGCCATTTTATCCTTTGCTTCCAGTAGCAGAATATTCTTGTCCATATCCATTTCCGATCTAACATTGACTGTTCTTGACTTTCCTGAGGTTGAGCTAGGAAGTTGAAAGAAAGCTTCTTCTCATACTCACTTGAATGTGGGTAGAACACTTCATGTGAAACATGAGGGCTGATCAGCAAGTGTCACCATCAGATTGAGGGTTCTACTCACATGCAAGCAAACACAAGTAGACCTTCCTGCTTGACAAAGGGAAGGTCAGCAGCAGTGGGAATGCTGGCAGCCTGCATGACCCATTCATTCTCCACCACCACCTCCATATGATTTTTCATGCTCACTCGCCATGCTTGATTAGAGCTCAGTGTGCTTCAGAAATGGGGTGAAGGTAAAAAATAATAATTAAACACTGGAATCTGCAGCAGTGTCCTTCAGAATCATCATTCTGCACAAGTGTAACGTGCAGAAATAGAGGAATAAAGAGAATGCAGACCAGTGCTTAGTAGCGTGTCAGGAGAAATTGTTTATTTCTGCTTCTGGAGAGAATTCATGTCACCTCCAGATTTCTTTGATGTTTTGTGACAAATGGTGCCTGGCTGTGTTTTCTGCTCTGACCAGAGTCTGCCTGGAATTGGAGGTCATGTGAGGTGTTAGCACAGTGCAGTTGACCTGTGTGTGAGAGAGAGAGGGGTGGGGGGTGGACAGGGAGAGAGAGAGAGAGAGAGAGCGAAATGATGCTAACAAAGCTGAAAATATTTCTTTGCTAGATTGCAGCTGTAAAGGTAACTGGAGAAAACAGAGTTGCTGACTACAGTTGGCCACGTCTGTTTGCTAGCTAATCCTTAAATGAAAGATGCCTTTTATAGAATATTATTTTTATCTTAATAATGCCAGTTGTTGTAATGCTGATATATACTACTTATTCGGTTGTACATAAAAAAGTACTAATGTGTGCTAATTACCTCACTTCATCCCCACAACATTCTGCAGTGCTGTTCGCGATGCATCTTTGTTGTCCCAATGAAATAGCATTCGATGCTATCTTAGAGTCAAACCAGATAGCATGTGTAGGATAGTATCAGAAGAGGTGCTTCAATGAATGGAGAAAGACATCTGTTCGTCACACCATTATGCTTTTTGTCATGCATATCTTTCATTGAGAGTGCTTGATTTTGTCCTTGCATCACTGGAAGATAAATAGGGGCTTTATTTGCAATTCAGACCTGTTTCAGACCGTTGGGGTGTGTATCTTTGACAAAATCCCACTCTGTGGGAGGGAAAACATGTTATGTTATCTTGGGTCCCCAGATGTTCTTGGACTACAACTCCCAGAAATCTTGGCCAGCACAGCTTGTGCTGAAGGCTTATGGGAATTTTAGTCCAAAAACATCTGGGAACCACTACCTTAATCCATTTGGACTAGTGATTCTCAGACTTGGGGTTTCCAGAAGTTTTTAGACTTCAGTGTCTCCTAGTCCCTATGATTTCCCAACAGCACCTCACTAGAGATTTAGGGAATTATAAATCAACCATACTAGGGAAGTCAAATTTATATTATAACCAACCTGAGGGGGAAGGAGGGGGGAATAATCAAATCAACATTAGCAGTTATCTTAATTCCCCAATTGCATTGCATTCATTTCAGCTGCTTCATTATTCCATAAGATATATAATTTACCCTTAAACTGAGAGTAGGAAAGCCTGTTGAAGCTTTTAATGTTAACTTTCACAAGTCCCTAACACCACTGCAATTTTAGCATACTATGGGAGTTGTAGTCCAAACTACTATATGGAAGAAACAGTTTCTTCAACTTTTGCCCTAATTTGCCGTTTTAGGGCCGTTTTCAAGCTTTAAACAGATTTTAATTTCAATCTACATTGTAGTATCCTCTTGTAATAAACATAAATGTTTTATCATATAAAACACCCATTTCTCTGTCTTCCCACATCCCTTTTATAATTTTTAGCACTGCACACACACATGTATGATGCCCCCATGTTATTTTACTGCTAATGATTAACTGTGAGAAACAGATATATAACCTGTACTCTACTCCTTAGGTCACAGAACTTTGTTTATTGGGGTCCATGTGCCACTGGGAGGAAGGAAAAGCCACCGACGCCATAGGCATCGTGGACACAAACACCGAAAGAGAGACAGAGAACGAGATTCAGGATTAGAAGATGGCAGAGAGTCTCCTTCATTTGGTAAGGTTTGTTTTAATCCTGCATATAGCGGATGGTGGTGGTGGTTGTTATCTCACACTATTGGAAACTGGAGAGCAGAATGTTGATGCTGGATGTAAAAGGAAGAGGTACACAAACAAATGGAATTTCAAATTATTATAGAGCTTAATGTGCATGGAGTGCAGCTTACTTGTTCCTCTTGGTTCCTCTTACAGAAGGCAGAGTTCTCTTTACTGTCGTTCCTATAGCAGGAGAGCAGCAGAGTGTCTGTGGTTCTGAACCCCTCCTTGGCTCCTGGAATAGCAGCTACCCTGTGGAAGGAAACCATGTTTTTTTAAATATATTCCCTTAGGCTTAGTCTTTCATTAGTAGTAGACAGGGCCAAAGTCAGTGGTGAACATATCTAAAGTAAAACTTGAGTAAGGCCACCCTTTTCTCTCTTTTTCACACACATAGACATACTTCTTTCCTCCTACATTTTGCTAGCCACTCTTCTCTGCGCTGTTGACTGCTGAGGGAAGGACAGACTGCTCTTTGTGAAAGAACTGAATTGGTTTCTTGCAGATGACTTTTGAAATTAGGCTAAAGTTTGCAGGCAGCCCTAGGGCCACAAATTGCCTACCCCCCTCCCCTTTTCTGTAGATCAATTTAGCTATGAGCAAATCTGGTAATCGTTCATCTCCAAACTGATGCTTTCCTGCATGCCTTTCAATCTTGTCAAATTCATTAACTTCTAGTGTTAATTCCAGGTCTGTATTAGCTTTCTGCCATAGAAAGGAGTCACTCTAGCTTGGCTCCTCTAATTTTTAATTATGCTTTGTTTTCCGGTCCAATTGGAAGCTTTTCTTTTATCCCTGTTAGGAGTGGTGGAAGCATTTTGTTCATATTATGATGAGGGAAGGAAGGCTGAAACCTCCCTTCCTTGTGAAACACAGCCTTGACAGGAATACAAGGTCCTCTTCCCTTAATATTACTTAAAACCACACCTGGTCACTTGAAGTAAAACATTATGTCATGGGTGGTAAGGCTCTTAAATGTGCATCCGTGTATTCATCCGAAACTGACCACTCCCACGCTGCATGATTAACATTAATAGATCTTGCTGCACTTACCAAGTGCTGCTGTTACAAGGCTGAGAAGTGTCTAGGGTATTGCAGAGTATGAGAAACCATTCTGCATCTACATAGACCCCAGTAATGGATTATGCTAGTGGTAAGTGATATCATTAAGCCATTATAAGGCTCTGTGAAAAGACAACATAACAACTGGGGTAACAGGAGCATTTCCTTCTTCCCTTACCCCAGTCACTGCTCATGAACTATAGTGTGGAATTTCAGTGACTCCTGATTCATGGGAGAAGCTATTCGTGATCCCATTTACCTTTTTCAAAAGAAGCTCTTCTTGCTTTGAGTTTAGCATGTCAGCTGATCAGTGGAGCAATCTTTCTTGAATATACAAATTTGCATGCAAGTTTCCCACCCCCACTGCTTCAGATTTAGGATAATCTATCATGTTGATCAGGCACAATCCAAAGAAACAAAAGAAAAAAAAGAGACAACAATATGTGGTACCTTAAAAACCGCATGTATTTTAATGTAAGCTTTCATGGACACATCCACTTCATCAGACATATGAAAGGAAATGTTGGATGAAATATCAGTTTCACAAGCAGAATATTCTAAATGTTCATTGGCCCCTGGGTGTGTGGTACATCTACATGCAGATTTAACCTTCCTACACACACTTCTTCTTTCTCCCCCTGTCATCTTTTCTCTTGCCTAGTGTCTGTTTTCTGTCTTCTGGACGAATGTTTACAACAGTACCCTAAAATAACATGGGCCATAAATTACTGTATGTAGATGTACCATACACCTAAGAGCCAACAAATATTTAGAATGTTGTACTTGTGAAACTGATATTCAACATTTCATTATGCTTCCATATGTCTGATTAAGTGGATGTGTCCATGAAAACTTACATCAAAATATAATAGTCTTTATGCCACATATTTTTGTCTTTTGTTTTGTTTCTTTGGATTTTGCTTGACATGCTCGCACAGACTGACATGATTATCTCTTCCAAAACTACTACCATGTTTTGAGAGAGAGAGAGAGAGAGTGTGTGTACATGTTTATATGGATGTATGTTTGCAAAAGGAAGAGATGAAGGGAGCATTACTTTAAAAAGACCATTTGATGCAATCTGCTGGGTAAAAGATCTGTGTATATGTATGGACTTAGAAATGAAGATTGCTTTCATTACTTCATTTCATCTGTCTGCCACTGTTTCTCAGTTCTTCCTCCACACTTCCTGACATACTGCCCATGTCATATTCCCTTTCCCTTCCCATCTCCTCTCAGTTCTCTTGTCGTTCTCTCTGCTTCAGTTTATCCTTCCTTCCCCGTCTGCTAATTTACTGTGTTTTTCTGTGTAAAAGACACTACTTTTTCCTAAAATCATTACACTAAAAATTGAGGGGCGTCTTTTACATGGAAGTAAGCTGAGAACGTGGAGAGAACAAAACTGCCCTACCTTGCCTCTGTAAACTGGTTTCCTTCAATCAGGGGGCTTAGCTGCCTCCAATCACGAGTCTTATGGAACTGACGTCAGCTGATGCTGAACAAACCAATTGGAACACACTTCAATGGAGGTGGAGCCTGTAGGCTCAGATTCAACAGGGACTCAAAATGTCTGACTATTCTGAGCCCAGAGGTGAATCCTCAAAGCTAGATTTTCTTAATTTTTGGATTAGGAAAGTGTGGGGGGTGTCTTATAAATGGGGGGTGTGTGTTATAAATTGAAAAATACGGTACCTCTTTACTCTCTCTCCCTCCTGGTGCTGTTGTCCCTGCTATATCAGGAGTTTGGAAAGTTCACAACGTGAATCCTGGTGCAAATAAGGGAACAAAACAATTCTGGTTTTTGCTATACATGTGTTGCTTTTTAAAAAAGGGGTTGACTCCCTTCTGCATTCCACCACATGTTTTTAACTGATACCTTGGAAGTACCTCAGCAATCCCATTTTGACGAAAAGCTGTCAACACTCTGACTGAGTGTTCCGTAGAAAGACAAACTTTAAATTTGTTACACAGAACTTTAGATATGTTGTTTCCAAGTAGTAGTTCTTGGGGCACTTCACAATACAACGCCTTTTCATGTTCAGGTAATGGGATAGCTTGCTGTTCTGAGGCAAAAGGTATATAAAGGATGAAAATACTTTCAAAATTATAATAAGAAGAGTGACTATAATGAAAACACAGGTGGGAGGCCTTATCACATCATGCTTTAGTACAAAAGAATATTTTAGCTTCTTAGAAAAATGTAAAGGCTGCTGTAATTTTGGGTTGTGAAGCAGTCATTACAAATTATTTCATTTTAAATTGGATTTTAAATTATGTATGTTGGAAAGGTGGAAGCAAGGTGTTATAGAGGCTGAGACCTTATAAAAAGAGTTGAAGTCCTTAAACTCTTAGAGAATAATGCAAAGGTGAATGAAACTCAGAAATGTCTTTAGAAATCTAGTTTCAGTAAGAATTAAGAGGATTGAGAATTGATTAGAAACGATGAATACCAAGTGACTTAGGAAATTTTTTTGGACAAATTAATACTGTTCAAAAAATTCTGAAGAAGAAACAGAAAGCTATATCCTTATACAATTCAAAATACTGGAAAATAGATGATGTTAGTCTGTTTTGCCTTTTTGATATTTTATGCTCTCCTGGGTAGTAAAATAGTTCCCTCCCCCTCATCCTTCCACCTAGAGTCAAATATCATCCTTCCTAGGCAAGCTTTTAATTGACTTAGACAGGTTAAGGCCATTATGGAATGATATATATTCTGAATTGAGTGAGCAGGTTTTTCATATTGGTATTTGTTTAATCCCTCCTTATTGGATTAAATTTTTTTAAAATTTTGATTGAAATCTTGTTGCTTAGTGAATTGCAGCAGATTAGGCCCATTGAGTTAGTGAAAATTTGGTAAATCAACTTCTCTGTGGATTCCATTGATTCAGTGGACCGACTTTAGTATAACTTAATATGTTAAGCAACACAATTTATTATTATTATTATTATTGTTGTTGTTGTTGTTGTTGTTGTTGTTATTGTTGTTGTTGTTGTTGTTGTTATTGTTATTATTTATGTATTTATTTATTTATTTATTTATTTATTTACTTACTTACTTATTTACTTATTTATTTATTTATTTAGCTTATATGCCTCCCACACTACCCAAAGGTCTCTGGACGGCTT